GATTCTTCATTGTATGTGTGAGAACTGGCATTTGAGTCTGTGGATTGATCTTATCATACTTGCTCTTCTGTTTTTGTGTTCTTGCCTCAGCTGAGTGAACAGCTTGTTCGTGAGTAACCCGATCCAGTGTCAGCCACAGCTCAGGTTCCAACGATTTTGCCAGAGAGATATGTAATTTTAATAGTTTTTGGGATAATTCAGCCAAGTTCTTCTTGGTGGCTGAGATTCTGTCTTTGACTAACCTCAACGACGCTTGTCGTAGAATGCCTTTGGCCTGGTTAGAAGATGGAAATAGATTTTTTAATTGAAAGCATTTCGGTATTACATGATGGTCGCGGCACCGTTTCCGAAATGCTAGGGAGCACAGTTGGACATGCAAGGACTTCCTGAGTTTGGAAAATAAATTTACCGACCCTAGAATAGCTTCTCCGTGCAGGCTTCTAATACTAGATTTGAGGCTTTTACGGCCATTGATACAATGTCTAGGTATAGCTTCCGGAATGGAGCCGTGTCTTGAATCAGCGATGTGCCGACGTTTCGCAAACGTTGCAGTTTGCATCATCAGGGCTGAGAACTCTGATACTGAGCTTTCTTGGGTAAAGGTTGTCCTTATATGCCCCCCTCCCCCCTTGTGTCGATGGTGTTAGGGAGTAGGGGACGAGGCTTGAATCCAGCCAATCAACGTATTTTAATTGATCAGCTGGTCAATTAATATTGATTGGCTATCGTGCAAACTTCCGCCGCGCGGCAAGCATTACCACGTCCTATGTGCAGGAGCTATTAGAATTAGTTCCACTAGGGTCGGAAATTATGATAGGTACGACCATCTAGTACTTTTGTAGTTTATGACAACTTCTTGAGATATCTTTACATGAGAACATCGAGCGTCGAGGGTTAAAGCGATAGCCAATCAATGTGCCACTTTCCGCAAGAACTACAAATATATTTCTGGGACCTGATACGTTGATTGGCTAACGCTTTAACACTCGACGATAGAACGCTCTTATGGCGCCTTTACTTCTAACTAAATGCCTTACCATAGAAACAAGCTGGAGTAAGGGTGTGTTTGAAAATAGCTGTGGTTACTGTCAGTAAAAATGATAAAATTGGCAGCATTGAGAATTACTGCTGCTGCGTTTCGTATCTCTCACCAGTAAATCAATTGTTCGTTCTAGGCAGTATTAGGTGTTAGGTATTGACGCATAACCTTGAACAGTAAGTGAGTTTATCAAGGACTGAATAAAATTAATAATTAAAATTAAAAAATTGTGTTTATAATAAATAACCTCTATATATTTGTCAAAGTTATTTGAATTCCTTCATAAGTTGGTCATCTGATAAACTGATTTTGGATGCCGTAAATTGCTCGAACCACTCTTTTGACACTAAACTATGCTGTTGATTTGTTAACTCCAAATCTTTCATTTACAGTGCGATAAGAGTCTGGTGTTGCCAAAACATAAATGATAATTAATAATCGTTTTCTTATATCAATTTGTTCTCTCCCTTTAAATGGAAAATTATTTAATATAGGTCCAATTATATGCAATAAAAAATCAAAAGTATTGCGTTTCATTCTGTAATAAATAAAAAAGTATTATTATTATTAACATATGTTAATTAACATTATATTATATGTTAATTAACATATGCAAATAATTATATAATTATATATCAACATCATACGTAATGATCTCCCATACAGCACAGAAGCTTGCAGCAACATTGCTACAGCGTTGCAAGATTACATATTGTAGTGCAATGTTGCAGAGATATTGCAGTATTATTAATTTGCAATATTACTTTAGCAATATTTTAGAAATATCCCTTATAGAAATATCATACTAAGAATCATTGATAATTACTTATTATCCAGTATTTTTAATACTGAAAATAAGTAATTATCAATGATTCTTAGTATGATATTTCTATAAGGG